TGGGGAAGATTGTGCAGGATGTTTTGGGTCCAGACCCGGAAGTGATGGCTGCATCACTTGCACTCACATTTCATCGGCCAGACTTGGTCATATAGACACACCTAACTGCTGGAAATGCTGAGAAATGTAGTATTTCTAAGTGCCAAGGAGGAAAATTAAACAGAATAGTGAACACATGGTGCTATATTACAACATGGAGAAACATGTGTTCTATATAAATGAACATCATTCCCCAAACAACAAAGTATACGGAAAAACCCTTCTGGATCACATAGCGTATATTCTACACATCTAAGGCAAGGAACATTAGGAGAAAAAAGCTGCAGCTGTCAAATGATGAGTTTCAAGGACACAATGGAGGGTAAGAGCAGATGGTCTTTAGAATGAGAGCACGTCTGTGACCAGTTTCTGCCACCACCCTTAGCCTGACAAGGACATCCTGGTGTGGTGATCTTGGGCCAGTTGCTTAAATGTGTGGTGCCTTCGAAGGGCTATTGTGAGTTTCAATGAGGCAGTAAATACTGACACCAGTGTAAATTCCAGCTGATGGGAGGAGTTACACACAGACATGGGACACCACAGACTTTCCCTCACTTCCTACATTTGACCACATCCACTCTCAGGACAAATTTTCTCATGGTGTAGGATGCAACATCTAATATCTCTGCATAATGATTGCAATATGAAATATTTTCTACGTTCCTGTCAATTATGTCTCCCCAAAATACATTTGATGATATCCAACCTGTGACCACCTGAGAAGGCAACCTTATTTACAGATAGGATTGCGCAGATATAACTAAGATGAGATCATGCTGGAATGGGTAGGCCCTAATCTGATATGATTGGTGCCCTCATAAAAGGTAAATTTGGATGAACACACACACTCACACCCGCAACCTCCCACCCACACACACATGAACACCACGTAACCATCAAAGCAGACTTGGGTGATGTGTCTACAAGCCCAGGAGCACCAGAGACTGCCTGCAAACCACCGAGGTTGGGAACACTGCATGGAGCAAGTTCTCGCTCAGAGCCCTGCGCTTGTAGCCTCCAGAACTGGACACAATAAGTCCTGTGGCTTAAACCACCTGCTCTGTGGTACTTTGTTATGGCAGCCCTAGCAAATAAATATAATGCCCAAGCAGTCGTTGACTTGAATACATAGGCATTAATGAAAAAATGCATAACGTTGCAAAATGTTAAATTCTAGTTCTCAATATATTTTCAACACCAGTTTTCCATTCGTTAGCACAACTGTTTCTGAGCAACAAAAACTAGTATTTTCAGATGATTCACCCTAAAAATCCATATGACTTCTGGGCTGAGACACTGGCTTCCCTTGCTACGAACTAACTGAGGCTATTAGAAACTTTCATTTTGAACTAGACTCATTAATATTATATAGATTTCCAGCTGCGTGATCTTGGCCAAATCTCTTACCTGTCCTAAACCTTTTCCACTCTCTGTAAAACAGGGAGATGAGGCTAGATTTTTCTCTCAGTTCCAGCTAAGACATTCTGGGATTTACAAGAAACCGTAACGATCTAGGCAGATGACTCGATAACCCATGGTCAGGTAAGCTAAAGCTACAGCTCTTACAGGAACCAACTCTCTCTTAATAAAAAGTGATTGAAGAAAAATATTAAAAGGGAGTGCTCAAGCAAATTAAATATTCAAAGTGAAGAACTCTGAATTTATTAAGTCTATCACCATTTAGAATGCATAATTCTAGCATAAATACTCTAGAAATATTCCTTTCTTTTGCTATGTGTTATTGTTAATAAAGAGGATCCTACATCCACATTTGTCATATGTCATTAATGAATCAACCACAGAATGCAAATTATAATTATTTTGAATTATCTATCTGCTATTTAATTATAATTTTAGACTCTCCTAAAATGGCCTAATAAAAATTTGGGATGCTAAATGACTGTCTCATTTGCTTACTGTGTATTATTTGCTGAAAATAATTAGCTGTGTTAATTGTCTGGGGAATTTTTTTCCTTAAAGATTGTCTGGGGGCACTAAATAAAATATTCTAAAAATGCAATGCTTTATTATTATTATTATTATTATTATTGCCAGGGATGTAGTAAAATACTGGCTATTCTAAAATTAAACAAATAAACCTTTGTACACTACCCTTAAATCTATATGATGTAACAACTAAGTGAAAGTCACACAAGTGCTACCCTTACACCTGGGCAAGAGGGCCCTGCCTGGCCTTCTGTACATTAGAGTCTGTTCTGGTCCTTCTCTGGCCATGGCACTCCATACAAAGCAAGGAGGCCTCAGGGCCAGGGTATATGTCCACCTCAAACTCACACACACACATACACACACAGAGACACATAAACACACATACACACATACACATACACACAGTCACACAAGCACACATATACACACATACATACATATACATACACAGAGACGCACACACAGTCACACAAACACACATACACATAGACATTCACACACATTCACATATACACATACACACAGACACACAAACACACATACACACACATACACACACACACTTTTAGAATGCATTCTAGGTACCCAGCACTCTGACATTTCCTGCTCAGAGGGCCCCAAGTTGTTTTCAAAAGGCTTCAAAGAGCTATTTTCTGGGTGTTTATTGCAGAGTAACACAAAAGGAGTGAACTCTTAGGCCAAAAGGAGGCCGAGGTGGGGATATGGACAGAACTGGACTTGTGGGTGTGGGGTATCTGGGTGGCAGCCAGGGCATACACACCCCTGCTGCGTATGGGCTCCCTACAATGCAGTGGGAAATAAGAGAAAGAGTCAGAGAACAAGCTCCACCTTGGCTTTCCAGGTTATGGAGGCATGGTCACCGTGCAGAGGCAAATCCAGAGCTTCCCTACAGTTTGCTATTTTGACGTGAAACTTGTTAATATCTGGGCAGACAATAGGAGGGCCCCTCTGCCTTGCATGGACCTGGTAAATGTGAAAGGAAGACTGAATAACATAAGGTTTTTAAAGAATTATTTATTTAATTCTATTTGTTATTATTATCATTACTTTTCTTATTTGATCAGAGAGAGACAGAGATACAGAGAGAAAGAGAAAGCAAGAGAGCAAGCTGCCAGGTCCGAGACTCAAACCACAGTCAGTCATGTGGGAATCCATGCCCTTATCCACCACACCACCTGCCAGCCCCATGAATAACATAATTTTTTATCGGGGACTGTTGAGTGCTCCATCTCTCTTACTAATGGCAGTCTTAGTCACATCGTGCACGTAGGTAAGTAAAACTAATGAGGAAAGAAACCAAAAGAAGTAGAGAATGAGAGGTTGAAGAAATTCTACAGTGTTTTTTTCTGCCCTCTGGGTTTCGGAATATGGTCGTCTACCATCAGGATGTTCCCCCCCCCTCCCCCGCCCCGTTGGTGATGATGATGATGATGATACAAAGTGATGTTTGAAGGTCTAGCAGGTGGCCTAATGGCTAAGGTGTTGGACTCCCACATGGCTAACAGTGATTCAAGTAACCAGACTCGGTGACTGAAACTCACTTGGGCACGTGTGCACGCATACCCAGGACCCCAAGAGGGGAATGAAAGAGAAGGGATTGCGACATGGCCATCCCCTCTGGGGGGTGATTTCTCACTTTCTCTATGTCTCTGTCTCTACGTTAGCACAAGCACCCTATAGCAAAAATCTCTCTCTAAAAAAAAAAAAAAAACCAAACAAAATATAAAGCACTGGGGATCAGCCGATTACCTCGCTGGACTCTCACATAGCTGACCATGGTTCAAGTCCCAGATCACGCCAGGCCCGTGTGTTGTGTGTGTGTGTGTGTGTGTGTGTGTGTGTCTGCCCACAGTCCTGAGAGGAGAATGGAGAGGGGATTGCAGTGTGGCTATGCCCCCAGGGGGTGATTTCTTGCTCTCTGTCTCTCTGTCTCTATCTCTCCAACGAGTGCATGTGCCCTAGAGCAAACAAACATAAAATAACTGATGCTTGTTATGCGCTGGGCCGTCTGATAAATGCTAACACATATGAACTTTAAATTAATTGTGTGGTGGGAACCAGCAGTTAGCATAATGGCTATGTCGCTGGACTCCCACGTAGTCGACCTCGGTTCACGTCCTGGACCCGGTGGCTTAAAACTCACGCTGGGCGCGTGTGTGCGTGCGTGCCCAAGATGCCGAGAGGAGAATGGAGGAGAAGGGATTGCGGCATGACCATCCCCCCTGGGGGGTGTTTTCTCGCTTTCTGTCTCTATGTTTCTCTCTGTCTGTCTGGCGAGCGCACGCGCCTTATAGCAAAAAAACCTCTCCAAAAAAAAAAAATTAATTGTGTGGTCATTACAGCCCCATTTTACAAGTGATGAAGCCTGGACAGGGGAAAGGGGGCCTGAGCCCAGTCAGGCTGGCTCCAGAGCTCTAGGCTGGCAGATTCTACAGGACGTTCAGCTATTGTCCATTCACACTCTGTCTGCACAAGTATCTGCTTCACAAGGAACTAGTTTGCAACTTTTCCTCTCCACCAAGGGAAATGGCATCCTTAGATTCAACATAGGTTTTCAAGTAAGGGGTTGTTCTACTCTGGAGGTTGTTCTACTCTACAACCCTTTGGTACTTTCGGTTTTGCCTTTTTGGTCGTGTTTGGTTGTGCTTTGAATGCTGGCAAGAAAATAAACTTAATACCATGTCTGGTACTCAGGAAGTCCTGGGAAGAAAGGAGTGAGGGATCGAGAAGTGCGGAGAGGCGAGAGGGAGGGAGAGGATCCACTTTAAGAGATTAATGCATTTGTGAAAAGGCTGGAGGGTGAAAAGCAGAGAGATGCCAACGTGGGTGCAGACAGGCTAGAGCACGGTACCCTCCAGGCCGCAGAGCCAGCCAAACGCTAACATCCTGGGCCCGCCCCCGGGTGACGGGTCTGGCATCCAGGAGGCCCGCCTTAAGCAGGCTTCCGCCCCGCCCCACCACGCATCTAGTCCCGCCCCGCGCCACGCCCCGGGGCTGACACCGGCGACATGCACCAGACCCCCGCTTCATCAGTGCCCCTGGCGAGCCCCGACTACTACGAAAGGCTGGGCCACCTCCAACAAGGGCTGCGGGACAGGTACGGTCAGGGGGGCGGGGAGTCGGCCTGCGCCGAAGGTCCTTTGGGTGCCTGTCCCCTGGTCTTCCCCACTACCTGCTCGTGTTTCCCCTGGGCCCGGGCCCGCTCGCGACGTCCCCGAGTTCCTAGTGGGGCCTGGAGGACAAAGTTTACCCGAAACGCCGCCTGTATGGGAGATAGGCGCGGAGAGAGCAGAGAGGCCCCTCAGTGGCGCTGAAACCCAGTCTCCAGTCTGAGGATGCGGCCGTCACCGAGTTGGCACCAAAGCGCGCGTGGGAGTTCTCCTGCCTGTCACTCTCCGCGAAGCCTTGTGAGTTTCTTTAGTCCGCTTCTACACGCCTCCTCCGCTCTGTCTCTTCAAATTGTCATCCCGCCTTGACAGCTGCACTGCATCAGTGATGACAGCTCCAACAGAGGAGAGGGAGGGAATATGTGTGTGAGCGCGTCAAACATTTGCCCTGTTTAAATACACAAGACTTTTAGGGGAACGGGTTGTGTGTGTGTGTGTGTGGGGGGGTGGCGGCTAGAGTTTCCAGCGAAGGAATGGAATTTCAAGCGAGAAGTCCAGATTGCAGAAAGTTCATGATGCCTTTGATTAAGACTTAAAAGATGGGAACCACTGAAAACAACTAGATCTAAGAGTGCTTAAGAGACAAAATTATAAAGCAATGTACAATAAATAACCACATAAAAGATAGATTGTTGAAACTCTTATTTAGCTGCTAAATCAATTGAAGTTGGAAATCTCATTAGTTGACAAGAAAGGAAATAGATGTTTGGATCACTTCATAGACAAAACATCTAATGAGCAATAAAAGTTATATCACTCCAGTGAACAGGAGAGCTGTCTCTGTGTGTGACAACCCTAAAATGATAATAATTACATGTGGTATAAAGGCAGAAGTTATTTTGAAAAGGAAGTGCATTCATCTTATATTAGATTTAATTTCTGCCAGTATTTATAGAGCATCTGCAACAGGCTGCCTTAATTTCCCACACCATATTTTACCATATTCCTTTTCTGCATCCTGTTTTCTTTCTGACATATCACCCCTCACCTACCCCATGGACTTTTTATCTCCAACATTAAAAAATATCACTTCCTGCAGAAACTCTCCTGCTTAAAACTATTCTCTAGTTTTTGCAACCTCGGCATCCTGACAGCATTCTGAGGGCTCAAATGATTTGACTCTTTGCCTAAAGTGAGAATTCTAGGAGGGCAAAAACCATATCTTGCTGGATCTTTAGTTAGCAATAGAGTACCTAGGGGTGGAGAAGATGCTTGGTGAATATTTGTTGAATTAACTGAAGAAATTCCCAAATCAACCAGCTAGTGTCTTGTCTAGGAGTTATAAATGTCTTATATAGAATCTAATAGCCACACGCTGTTAGGAGATAATGACTATTTTCTAGTCTACTGGAAAAGGAGACTGTATGATATTTCTAAAACAGTATTAATTATCTGCACATACCTAATAATGAAAATACAAAATATTTCTCAGTGTCTCAGTACACTTACTTTTTGGCCTAGTCTCTATTCTGTTAGAAGGTAGCTTACTAACCTTGGGCCTTTAGTTATTTGAGCCTTTAGCTCAATTCCCGATTTTAAAATGTTACTGGTTTAATAGGCATTTTTAAAAACTGAGTTAATTGTGACTTGTCATTTTTGTTTCCTCTGCTAGGAACACCTGGCTGTTTATAGTCCTTATGGTACAATTTTTATGTAAGGATTACTCACTTTATGTTTAACATTATTGCCTCACTTATTAAGCAAGGTGAGATTGTTGAAATTATATAAGGAATTTGAATCAAATTTTATAGCCTATTTATGATTCCGCATTTGGAGGTTTGTTTTATTTTTTTAAGTCAGTACACATCTGTTGTTGTACATATTCATTTTTCATTTTAAGAATCCATAACTTATTGATGAAGGATGCACACAAGTGTAGAGGTGAATAACATTAGGTGCAGAGCAAGCTGTAGTAGCAACGCAGACACCCATGTCCCATCAACAGTTACATGACTTTGTGCAGGTTGTTGGGCCTCTCTGAACCTTGCTTCCTAACCTGACATGAAGGGACTTGAGCAACACGTAAACTAAGGCCACAGATATTTTTCCCTACTAGAGTAATGGTCTTTAAAGTAAAAGACATTGAAAGCTATGGTTTTGCTTAAACAATACATAAAGAATATTGTCATGTATATCCTATTTGAGTGTTGGGATGTATCTTTAAACCCAAAAAACAAAACCCAGTGGCCACTGTCTCTAAAATGCCAGAATCATTTCAAAGGTTGCAGCCCTGGACAGTCATAGTTGCTTTACAATCCAGAAAGTCCTAGAGAGTGGAAGATTAAAAAGGTTTTTTTCACCCTCTCTCAGGCCTTTTAGAGATGATCATTGCCACATTAGCTAGTCTAGTAACTGGGCCTTCTTTTGCTCCTAACTGGCATACTTCCAGCCCAAGTCATCTAGCTATAATTATGCAAAGATGTAATTTGGTAGGCTGAATGTTTTCTTGTGTGAATACAGTTTCCTCTGCATTGCTCGGAAAGTCAATAATTGAATCTAAAAGCAACTAATGGAGTGGCTTGTTACAGTGTGTATAGCACCTGCATACAGGTAGAAATGTGTACGTGGCATTGATTCCTACAATTATATAAAAACATCCCTTTAAAAGGCCCATTAAGCAGATCCAGTTTTTTCAGTGCCAGTATTGATTCAACATGAGATGTCATAATAGTCCAGAAATTGACACTAAGATATTGAAATAAAGCCGAAGATGATAGAGAATTGCGGTATTGAGACAAAAACAGAATAACAAGTGGTTTAAAGGAGAAAACTCAGCCTTATGAGAACCAACCAGCTGTGCAAAACTTTGAAAGATCTAGTTGAGGAGTATAGGTGACCAAACATGTGGACTGTGGGTAAGCATCCAAATGTTTCAAAGATTCCAAAATAGAGACTTCATACGTAGGGATTCCAAGGTGATCCTCCCAGGAAGCTTTTCCCTGGCATTTCAATGGATTAAATATCTGATTTTTTAAAAAAAGAATTATTTTATTTAACTTTATCTATTTATTCATTTGCTTTTTAAATTCGAACAGAGAAGGACTGAGAGAGAGAGAGAGAGAGATAAAGTCAGAAAGCAAGCTGTCAGGTCTGGGACTGGAACCACGGTCGGCCATGTGGGAGTCCAGCGTCCTTAACCACGCTACCTCTCAGCTCCAAATATCTAAAATTTAAAACAAGTGTGAAGCACTTAGCATTTGGAGGCATTGCGTCATGGATGAGGGGGTTAGAAAATGGGCCTACGAGGAGGAGCTGGCCAAGGAAGACTGGTGCCACTGTGCCTGGATAGCAGGCCAAGAGGTGTCTGACTGTGCTCCTCTAGTGCATGGCATGCTGTGATAGAGAAGAGGAGCAAGTGATGAGCAGATCATCTACTGAAGGCAGAATAGGAACTAGGAGTTTTACACTCAAATTAGAAAGAACTTGTGTGCTGGCACATGACATGGTGGTTAAGGTGCTGGACTCCCACATGGCTGAATGTGGTTTGAGTCCTGAATCTGGCGGGTTGCTTTCTCACCTTTCCTTGCTCTCTCTATGTCTCTCTGGTCAAGTTAAAATATAATAATAATAAATAAAATTGAATAAAATAATTCTTTAACAAAAAAAGAATTTTCCATGACACTGGTTTAAAAAAAAATTAAGACAGTTTATAAACAAAAAAAGAACTCGCTGGGAGCCAGCAGGTGGTTAAGGTGCTAGTTTCCCACATGGCCTACTGCAGTTTGAGTCCTGGATCTAGCTGCTTGCTTTCTCTCTCTCTCTCTCTTTCTCTCTCTCTCTCTCTCTGTCTCTCCCTGGTGAGCAGACGTGCCAAGTAGCAAACTGAAAAATAATAGTAATGATAAATAAAAACTAAAATAAGTAATTAATTTTTTAAAAAAAGTACTTGTTGGTTGGGAGGCAGTGGATTCCCGAAGAGACTCTGTTCCTTTTACTAGTGGTTGTAGATGATTTTTAAAAATATACCAAAATAGGGACCAGCAGTTGGTGTAATGGCTGTGTCACTGGACTCCCATATAGTCAACTGCAGTTAAAGTCTTGTTCCTGGTGGCTTAAACTCACACTGGGCACGTGTGTGTCAGTGGCCAAGATCCCGAGAGGAGAATGGAGGAGAAGGGATTGTGGCATGGCCATTTCCGCTGAGGGGTGATTTCTAGCTTTCTTGCTTTCTGTCTCTCTGTCTTTCTCTGTCTTTCTGGCAAGCGCATATGCCCTAAAGCTAAAACCTCTTCAAAAAATATATATATCAAAATAAGTTTAAGTTTACAGAAAAATGACAAGTATAGGACAAAGACCTTCAATATGCCCCTCACATTTCTGGACTCAACATTTTATTACATATTTAATCTCTGTTCATCTAAAATTATTAGTCTTTTCTGAGTCATTTGAGAACTAGCAATGTGATTGGCCTCCTTGTACTCCTAAAACCGTTAGTGTATCTTTCCACACAGCAAAGATGCTCTGGCACGTCACCACGTAGGACCCTACCCAACCTTGGTACGCTAATCCAGGTGCCCATTTGATCTCACTAGCCACTGTCCTGACAAGGTTGTTTGTCTTTCTGGTTCAGGGAACCCAGATCACGTCTGGTTGCCATGGTTCTTCAGTCTCCCAGTCTGGAACGATGCCTCATTCTTTCCCTGTCTTTCATGTTTCTGCCAATTTCATCGAGTCTGGCTTTCACTCTTGAGAGTGACCCACAAACTGGGTCTGTCTGATGCTCCCTCATGACCAGGCAGTCCCGGTTATGTGTTCTGGGCAGGAATAGCAGAGAAATGGTATTATTGTATCAGGGACACAAAGTCACAGATGCATTTCGAGGTCTTTTTGTCCTCAAAATTTAAAGAGAAATTTACACTGTCCAATCATTCATTCTTTGTGAACTAAGTACCCAGTTGATCGTGAAACCTTACAAAAGGAAAATGGGCGAATTACAGTTTCTCGGTGGAGGACTGGCTAGGTAGTGCAGCGGGATTGCTCTCCTCAAGCCAGGCTGGATCCATGTGGAAGATCAGGGCTTGGCTCCCCAGCCAGCTGTACACCTCGGACACGTATGCCCATGACCCTGGCTGGCCGGGAAGGCTGGGGAGTTGGGGCTGGGAATTGAGGCATGAGACACTGTTGAGTCTCTCTCTCTAGGTATATATCTCATAAAAAAAGAAACTTAAAAAAAAATTCTAACATGAAAGCAATTGTACAATATATATATCCTTTAATTCTAAACTTAATCTTGTTAGTGGAAAAAGTAAAGCTCTGTATGGAGTTATTTGTTTAAAAATGCATGTTTTTTAAATAAGTTTTTCCTTGTTTTAAAGAATTATTCATTTTATTTTATTTATTATCATTTTTTAATTTGACCAGAAAGAAAGAGAAAGGGAAAGTAAGAAAGCAAGCTTACAGATCCAGAACTCGAACTGTCGTCAGCCATGCCACCAAGCTCCCTGCTGGCCCCTAAGTTTTCCCTTTTAGTCTTTTTCCTTTTTAATACAGTCATACCCCTGGCCAGAAGTAGGTAATGCTTCCTGGGTAAAGATTATGTACTTGAATTTGGGACTCAATTTTTCCATTGAAAGAGTTTTGGTTGGGACCAGCAGATGCTGTGGTGGTTACACTGTTGTTCTCCCACATGGCCAGCCGTGCTTCAAGTCTCAGACCTGGAGGAGAGTGGAGAAGGGATTATGGCATGGCCATCCCCTTGGAGGGGATTTCTCTCTTTCCTTCTCACCATGTCTGTTTCTTCCTCTCTCAAGCAAGTGTGTGCACCCTAAGGCAAACTAAAACAATTTTTTTTTGGTTAAGTGGTATTTTCCATTGGAGATTATGCTAAGAAATTTATTTAACCCATAATGGAACTAAAAGAGGAACTTTGGGGATTTTTTTTTTTTTTTAAGGAAAAATATTTTCTGAAGGAAAGCAGAAACTGTAAGAATTCATAAATTGAATGAAGGGCTGGCCCCTTCCCCTCAGGAGCCCAGCCTGCAATCCCTTCTGTCAGTGTTCTTAATCTTTGTTTTCCATCTCTCTCTTTTTTTTTTTTAAAGTATTTTTCTTTTAGGCCATATGATTTCTTTTTTGGCCTTTATCGAATGCCAGTTTAGATTGGCACTTTGGTTTTAGTTAGGAGGGATTGAAGCTTGAACTCTGGTGGGAGTCAGATGGAACTCTGTGGTTAAATCTCCCAAAGACTCTTCTGGGGATTGAACGGCTCCCTGTTCAGTTCCCTGCACCCACCCCCGGCCCCTCGGTGTTGGCTGCTGCCAGCACCACTACTGCTTAGTGCCCCCTACCTCCTACCCAGGGTGGATGTGGG